CTATAAAGCCTTGTTCTTTTAATGTAAACATTTAATACTATATCTTCCTCAATGCTACTATAGTTTTGTCCAAAGTATTTTGATGTGTTGTTTTATTGTTCTCATTGAGTTGTGCACCTCATTAACTTCCTTTTATTTTTTTTTTATTTTTTATTGTAAAGATAATATACAGAGGGTTACAGTTACATGAGTAAGGTAATGAGTACATTTCCTATTGAGCATTGTTACCCCCTCCATTGTTTTCCCCCTACCATCCCTTCCCTCCCTACCTTCCCCGAGATAAACTTCCTTTTAAAATTCCACTTTAACACATGGGTTATTTAGTGTATTTCTTCAATTTGTATGTATTTAGAGGTTTTAATGCAGTTTCTGCTATTGATTAATAAGTTCATTCTTTTACCATCAGAAAAGATACCCAGTGTGATTTCAGATCTTTAAAATTCTTGAGGTTTTATGCTATAATCTAGCATATGCTATGTTGGTTAAATTTCCATGGGTGCTTGAAAAGAATGTGCGTTCTGCTGCTGTTGGAAAGTCTTCTAAACATGTGAGTTACATCTTATGGGTTGGAAGTGTTGTTCAGTTCTTCCATATACTAGATTATACTAGATTTTTAATCTAGTAGTCTACCAATTTCTGACTACGGAATTCATGTCATCAACTCTGATTGTTTATGGCTCTCTACCCTCAATTCTAAGTTATTCATGTGTTATGAAGCTACATATTTTAATCTAAACATGTTTCGGTTTGTTGTATTCTGTGAGTACATCGATCTTATTTATCATTAACCTTGGTCCTTTGCTGATTTTTTTGCTCTAAAAATATTTTAATATTAATATACTTACTCTCCTTTAAAAAATCAATGTTTATATGGTATTTCTTCATGTTTTTACCTTCAAACACACCTATGTTGTTTTGGTTTCAGATGTGTTTACTTGTCTTTTCTTTTAGTCAAGCAATCTGTGTCTTTTAGTTGGGTTAGATCATTCACATTTAAGACAATTAATAATATATCACAGCTTAAGTTTGTCCATTTTCCCTGTTAATCCTGTTTTCTTAAGTCCTATATTTCTTTTTTACCTTCCTATGTTATCCTTTAAATATACCTCTTTACATTATTTTTATAGTATTTATTCTAGGTTATTAGAATATAAAAATATGTCATTTGTCATAGTACTATAGTGGCATTTACTACTACATGTAGAAACCTTAGTTCCATTTTGGTCCCTTTATAGCTTTTAAAATACAACTTTCTTGGGCTGGGAATGTGACTCAGTGGTAGAGTGCTTTTCCAGCATGTATGAAGCCCCAGATTTGATTTCTCACTACCACATAAACAGAAAAAAATCATGAAGTGGCTCAAGTGGTAGAACACTATCCTTGACCCAAAGAAGCTCAGAGACAGTGCCCAGACCCTGATTTCAAGGCCCATGACAGCAAAACAAAAAACAAAAACACAAAAAAAACTTGTCTTTATTTCCTCAACAAAGATGAGGCATCATATCAAATGACATTACAATTTTTGCTTTAGATGTCAAATATGAGTTAAGAATCTGAGAATGAGGATATACTATTATATTTACCCTTCCAAAGAAGTTCCAAGTCTTCATCTTGTTTTCCTTTCTATTAAGTATTTACTATAAACATTGCTTAAGGGTAGGTTTTTAGTCAACTAACATAGTTTTCCTTTAATTGAAAATGCCTTTAATTTTCCTTCATTCCTGAAGAATATTTCACTGGATACAGAATCCTGGGCTGATAATTCCTTTTTCTTAGTACTTGAAAAATGCTTTTGCATCCTTTTGGCCTTCATGATTTCTTATGAGAAATCTGCCACTCAAACTGCTGTTTCATATAAGCAATATGTCTTTTCTTTATGGCAGCTTTTACAACAGTTTATACTATATTTATAATGTAGCTCCGAATGAATTTACTTGGATTTATCCTACTTGGAGTTTGTTCAACCTCTTGAATATGTATGTGTATGCCTTCACCAATTTGGGAGTTATGTCAATATATCTTTAAATACTTAGTCCCATTCCTTCTCTCCTCTCATGGAACTTCCATATCATGAATGCTAGCTCTTCTGTTATTGGCTCACATGACTGTTCATCCTGTCACAGTTCATTGTCCCTCTGTTGTTTAGATTAGGTAATTTCCATTGATCTCTCCTAAAGTCTATTGACTGTCATCTTCACGCTACTACTGAGCTGATCCAGTGAGCTTGTCATTTTGGTCACCATACTTTTCAGTTCTATAATTTCATGTTGCCCTTATTTTATTATTTATGTTTTGTATTTTAAGACAATTCCTATTTTTTTGTTGAAGCAATTTTACAATCCCAACAATGGAATCTTGTCAGTATAGGCTATTTAGTTGTCTTTTTGCATTTTTATATTGTATTCTGGGCATTACTAATTTTATGTTATGGGAATCTTGTACTATTTAATGTTTTTTCTTAGCAGTCATTTCTACTTAAGTATAGCACAAAAACAAAGTAGGTTTAAGTGGGACAATGTATCCCATTTCTTCTTACTTTTTTGGTGTGTGTGCCAGTCCTAGGACTTGAACTAAGGGTCTGGGTGCTGCCATGAGCTTTTAAACTCAAAGCTAGTGCTCTACCACTTGAGCCACAGCTCCACTTGTGGCTCTTTGGATCTTGTATATACATTTTTCTTGTTTTGGGAGGGGAAGGGAAATAACAAAATGCTGAAACAAGGATACAGGTTGATCCATTGTAACACTATGTTGAAAATGAACTTTATAACTTTGTGGGGGGGAGGGAGGAGTTAGGGAGGTGGGGAGGAAAAGGATGGTAGGGGAAAAACAAATGAGGGAGGTAACAATTCTCTATAGGAAATGTACTCATTACCTTACTCATGTAACTGTAACCCCTCTGTACAATAAAAAATATTTTTTTTAATTGTGAAAATACTGTATACAATTACATGGGCAAGATAATGAGTACATTTCTTATCAAGCATTGTTGCCTCCTCCTTTGTTTCCCCTTCCCTTCCCTTCCCATGTCCACCCCACTTCCACCCCTCTTCCCCCTGCCAAAGTTGTAAAGTTCGTTTTTCGACATAAAGACCTGTACATCTCATTGTTGCAATGGATCCACCTATATCCCTATTTAAACGATTTGTTTTTTTCCCTTCCCCTCCACAAATTATACCAACATTAAATACATTGAAAGCAGGGGTTATACCGTGGGGGAGGGACATACAAAGCAACAAAGAAATCATCTTATAAATATGTTAGAAACAATCGCATGAAAGAAAAAACATTTGAATACTTATTGTAAGGTCCGCTCCTGGATGGCTAGCAGCAAAGTCTCCACCCAGTACCTGCGTTACCTAAGCAACTGGGACACCTGGAAGAGGTCACATCTGCATCTGCTGAGGTCACATCTGAATTTGATGTGGCCACACCTTTCTCTCCCCATACCCTAGATAAGGCCTAGCCCAGGCCCAGACGCCCTCTCTCTGCTCTTTTCTAGCTCTTTCTCAGCTCTTTCCTTCTCTTCTCTTTCCCAGCTCCCTTCTCTTTCCTAGCTCTCTCTTTCCCAGACGCTCTCTTTTCTAGCTCTTTTCTCCCTTTTCTAGCTCTTTTCTCTCTCTTTCCCAGCTCTCCCAGCTCTCTTTCCCAGGCCTTTCCCCACTGCGTGGAGGACAAAGATGGCCTGGTGCCAGCCGGAACGATGAATAAACCTACCCCTTACCTGAATACCACGTGTGTGCTGCTGTTCTTACTCGGCTACCTTTTTTTAAAAACCTAACACTTATCTTGGAAAATAACCACAAATGAACACTTCTAAAATACATTTGTTCTTTGAGTTACTATTTCTTGTTTCTTCCTCCTAAAAATGAAACTTGTCATAGTGTTTAACTCATCCTTCAATTGAAGCTCAGATATTCACTCTTACACAGGATGCAGCTGGAATGAATTTCTCCCAATATTCTTTTTTCCCTCTGTCAGAGTAACACAAATCAAGAGCTTCTTCAACCTGCCACTACCGTAGTCCAATACTAATCCTCATTTGGCCAGGGATTCCCAGGAGCACATACCCAATGCCCCAAAGAAGTGCAATTAAGTTATTTCCCTTAGCACATACAGGGTCTCATGGTGAGTCTGTTCTCCAGAGAAAGAAAAGTTCTATGTGACAGGTCTGGTCAAACAACATGGTAATGTCATCCCATGAGGTGGGCAAGGGTTACAGCCATAGGTATACCATCTGTCTAAACTATTCATTGGCTACAAATGTGGAATAGTAGAGTCATAGTAGCTAATTTTTTATATTTAGTGTTGCCCAAAGAGAAGCAGGACATATCTTCATAGAAGTCTACTTTAAGAATTTTCTTACAAATCAATTTTCATCGTTGCATGGTACTTCTGACATGTTGACACTATAATAAAATAAGGATGTCCCTTAAAAAAACTAAAATAACAACAACAAAAAAGAATTTCCTTAGAAAGCTTGGAGAAACTGCAGTCCCAGTTCTTATGACTCTCCTTTAGCAGATCTTTCTTTTATTTCACATTATTTAATATACAGGCAGTTCTTGGAATATTGATGACAAAATAAGCAGACCAACCCTCTCTTTCTGTATCTTACCTTCTGATAGAGACAACTTATTCCAAAAGATAGCCCAGGGATAATTTAATCAGTTATAACAAGTGCAATAAAAGAAACTGAGAAATCTGATATTCTTTGAAGTCTCAGCTAGAATTATATTTCTTCAATGGTACACATAGGAATGCTCAAGGAAAGAAGGAATAAATCAATGCAGTTAATTCAGAACTATCAAGAATTTTTTTTAAAAAAAGTAATTACTGTGGTATCATGATTTTATCTGTGCTTCCATACCCTAGAGCTACAAAGGACACAAGGAATGTATAGCACATTTGATGAGATTTAATGAATTGAAGTATATCTATTATAATACAGTCTTGAGGGAGATAGGGTTGCCATGTCCATGATAGTGTCACCCAGCTCATACCTCCTTGTTTGTCCGGTCAGCTTGCACCAATGTCCCATTCAGGCAAGGCTCCACATAGTGAAGTTCTTCATTATACTGCAATGGAAAAACATAAATGAGAAAACATTTAAGCAAAGACACAAAAGGTACTTGATAGCAATTGAAGGTACACAAATACATAAAATATCAGTATAATTACAGGTTTAATTTAGTCACATGACATTTACCCATGGATTCCCCCTCAGACAATTGTAATTAAGTACCAAATTTGATTTGTACAGACAATTGTAATTAAGTACCAAAGTATCTTATTTGAGGAGGAAACTTCTAGTGCACATGCACTAGAGGATGGCAGGTCTCAAGATGCACACTACTAGCTGACCACCTTTCATTGGTAGCTATTCAGAAAACAGCCTTGCCATTTTCCTGAGCATAGCTGACAGCCCATGGAGTAGGTAGCATCTGATGTGTATTCCAGTTGTGACTAAATACAGTTCCAAATCTTTTTGGGACATATTGTATGGGCCACACATAAGAGGGGACAAAATTGAGAAATGGAGAGGTCTTGGTATTTTCCCATCAGTCTGAAATGATATGGGGGTGTGGTTATGCACCGTTCATGAACAGGGAATGGATGCCACCTACCTTGCCTTGCCCAATGCCTGTCTTATCATCACTTTTGATTCCTGACTACCCAGAATATGAATCTATCTTTTTTCAAAGCTCACAACCAGGAAGAAATGTTTGAGAGTTCATATCTTCATTGCTCTCTTTTTTTTATTTCTCTCATCAAGCTTGATTCTCTATACTGTACGTCTGTCTTTCCAAAACACAAGGTTGTTCTTCTCACTTCTTGCATACACCATTCACAGCTTCTTAGTCCTATGTTGAGCCATCTCAGGGCTTGCTAGGAGTTCAGCCCCCAGCACTGGTGACTACTCCAGTACCTCTACTCATTTGTTTTCCCCAAAATGTGTTCTGTCCAAACCTAATTTCCCTCCAATTTCTGACATGTCCCATCTTTTCTTCAGACCTTCCCCAATTGGCCATCTGCCTAGAGCCCTGGTTCTGAGCTCTCCACTCTGCCTCCTGACCAATGCTCAAGGTCACCCCATTCCTACCTCCACTACAAAGAAGCTTTTGGTGCAAGGCAGCCACTGGGTTAGGATGCTCTCCTGTAAACTAAAATTTAAATTCTACTTTACTATTGCCTAGATTACCAGTCACAAGGGAAAACCCTGTTTTTATCATCTACAACTGGTTCCCTGTGGATTCCACAGTGAATGATCCTAGATCATTTTCCAATGAAACCATCACAATTGGCCAAAAGAGCCTAGAATGCTGGTGTAAAGAAACCAGAAGTTATCTCTTACATTCACTTTTGGATGAAAACTGGATAAGGAGTTTTTCTCTAAGATTATTGTCAGCAAGGACTGAAGAAGGGTTAAGAACAGGGGAGTAACAAAAATAAAAACTGAGTTTGGGACAATCACCCCACAAAACAAACCTGAAGATGCTATAATAGTGATGGAGGTGCATATGAAATCATGCATACAGTGCTTCCAAAGTGAGTAGGATACAGATGGCATCACTGTTACTAATCAGTTTTTGCTGAATATTTACTATATCTAGGTACAATCTAAACTTTATTTGCGTGCGAGTTCAGCCGCATATGATAGGTCCTTCTAATCACTTATCCTTTATACTGAAACAGCGATGATCAAGTTGTTCAAGGAGTAAGTAAGAGGTGAAATCCAGGCTCATATACAGGCAATCTGAGATGACATCTACTCACCAAAATCTCTAATATCTCCTCTCCAACAACTGAGCTTTCCTATTTCTTCATTTGGCTTTTCCCTCTTCTTTAATCTTTCTAGTCATACAGAACCATATGAAATTTTTTTATTGAATTCTTAGAGATTAAATATCTTCTGATGAATCAAAAAGGAAAAGTATTACATATGCTATTCCAAAGTTAACCAACAAGAAATGGGAGTATGTCGAAATAATAAGGGTCATATATGACAGACCAACAGCCACCATCATACTACACAGTGAAAAACTGAAGCTATTTCCTCTAAAATCAAGAACAAGGCAAGAATATCCTCTCTCTCCACTCCTTTTCAATATAATTCTGGAACTCATAGCCAGAGCAATTAGGTAAGAGAAAAACACAAAATAAATACAGATAAGGGAAGAAGTTAAACTGTCCTTATTTGCAGATGGCATGATTTTATATCTAAAGGATGAGAGTGACTCCATCCCTAAGCTCCTAGAGCTGCTCAACAACTGTGGCACAGTAGCAGGATAGTGGCTCAGTGGTAGAACGCTTGCCTTGCATGTATGAGGCCCTGAGTTCGATTCCTCAGCACCACATAAGAAAAAAGAAAAAATCCGGAAATGGCACTGTGGCTCAAGCAGTAGAGCGCTAGCCTTGAGCTAAAGAGCTGAGGGATAGCGCCCAGGCCCAGAGTTCAGGCCCCATGACTGGACCCAAAAAAATTTTTAAAAAAACCCACAAAAATCAGTAGCCCCTCTGTATACCAGTAATGTACAAGCAGGGAGTGAAATCAAGAAAACAATTCCTTTTGCAATAACTTCAAAAAATTAAGAATAATTTTTTTAATTTTTATTTTTTTATTGTGAAAAAATTAAGAATAAACTTAACCAAGAAAGCAAAAGACTTCTGTAGTGAAAATTAAAACTCTGAAGAAAGAAATTGAAGACAACATCAGGAAATGGAAAAAAACTCCCATGTATATGAATAGATAAAGTTGGTATTGTGAAAATAGCCATAATACCAAAGTTGATCTACAAATTTTGCACAATCCCCATCAAAATTCTAGTAACATTCTTTGCTAAGATAGACAAAACAATCTCAAAATTCATATGTAACAATAAAAGACTTCAACTAGCAAAAGAAAATTTAGGCCAACCCCACTCCACTCCCTGCCCCAAATAAACTAAAACAATGCTGGTGGTATCACAATCCCAGAATTCAAGCTCTACTACAGAGTATAATAATAACAACAACTTGGTACTGGTATAAAAACAGACCAAAGATAAATGGAACAGACTAGAAGACCCAGAAATAAAACCATATACTTATAGTTATCTGATATTTGGCAAGGGAGCCAAAAATATACAGTAAAAACAGCATCTTCAATAATTGGTTTGGGAAAAGTGGGCATCCATATGTAGAACACTAAAAGTGGATGCCTGCTTATCATCATGTATTAACATCAACTCAAAGTAGATCAAAGACCTCAATGTCAGAACTGAAACTTTGAAATTAGTGAAAGAAGGAATAAGAGAAACATTAGAATTTAGAAGCACAGGCAGAAACTCATTGAAAAGAGTTCCAGCAGATAGGAGAGAGACTTAAAAAATAGGATTACATCAAAATAAAAAGTTTCTGCACAGTAACACATGGAGGCTGAACAACACACTGTTGAATCACCAGTGGGTCATGGAAGAGATTAGAAAGGAAATTCAAATGTCCATGATATTCAACAAAAATGAGCACACAAATTACCATCTCCTCTGGGACACAGCAAAGTCAGTACTCAGAGGCAAGTTTATAGCTCTGAGTTCCTACATCAACAAATTGGAGAGATCTGAAACCAACAATTTAATGAGACATCTGAACCTCCTTGAAAAAGAGGAGCAAGATAAACCCCAATCCTGTAGATGGAAAGATATAATTAAAATTAAATCATAATTAAACGAATTAGAATCCAAAAAAACCATAGGAAGAATCAACAAAACAAAGAGTTGGTTCTTCAAAAAAATTAACAAAATTGACAGACCCTTAGCAAATCTTATCAGTAAAAGAAGGGAACACACCCAAACAAACAAACAGCGATGAGAATGGAAACATCACCACAGAAACAACCAAGATTCAGAACATTATAAGGGAATACTTCTCAAACCTTTATGCTAATAAGTTTGAGAACCTGGAAGAAATAGAACTTTCCTAGCAAATATCTACATGGCAAAACTAAACGAAGATGAGTTCAACCAACTTAACAAGCCCATATCAAGCACTGAAATAGAAACAGCAATAAGAGACCTCTCAACTAAGAAAAGTCCAGGACCAGATGGATTTGCAGTGGAATTCTACAAGGCCTTCCAAGCAGAGCTCACACCCATACTCCTCCAACTCTTCAATGAAACTGAAAGAGAAGTTCACTATTGAACTCATTCTATGAAGCTATCATAACACTCATCCCCAAACCAGGCAGAGACTCATCAAAGAAAGAGAACTATAGACCCATTTCTTTGATGAACATCGATGCAAAACTTCTCAACAAAATAGGGATACAGGTGGACCCATAGCAACAATGAGATGTACAAATAGTTACATCCAAAAACAAACTTTACAACTTTGGCAGGGGGGAGGAGCCTGGGAGATAGGAAGAGATGGGAAGGGGAAACAAAGGAGGAGGCAACAATGCTTGATAAAAATGTATTCATTGTCTTGCCCATGTAATTGTAACCCCTCTGTATGGTATTTTCACAATAAAAATGCCTGAAAAAAAATCTTGGCCAGTCGACTTCAACAATTCATCCAAAAAATCATACACCATGATCAACCAGGATTCATTTCAGGGATGCAAAGCTGGTTCAATATATGCAAGCCAATTAATATAATTCATCACATCAACAGGAGCAAGGATAAGAACCACATGGTTATCTCAATAGATGCAGAAAAATAAGATCCAACACCCCTTTGTGATAAAGGCTCTGGAAAAACTAGGAATCCATGGAACATTCCTCAATACAATAAAGGCTGTATATGACAAACCTACAGCCAGCATTGTACTTAATGGTGAAAAACTAAAGCCATTTCCTCTTAACTCAGGAATGAGACAAGGATGTCCACTCTCTCCACCTCTCTTCAATCTAGTATTAAAATGCCTAGTTACAGCAATAAGACAAGATGCAAACATAAAAGGGATCCAAATAGGGAAAGAAGAAGTAAAACTCTCCATCTTTGCAGATGACATGATCTTGTATTTAAAGAATCCTACAGACTCCACTCCCAAATTACTCAAGCTGATTCAAAACTTTGGCAAAGTAGCAGGGTATAAAAT